TACCTCATTATTGGTGTAATGCAGGTCCATGCTTTGCCCAAACGCTACTTTAGCTTTGGCGCTCAGATCTTCCAGACTGACAGGTCGAGGGAACTGCAGGATCCTTAAGTAAAAGATAATACATTATAAATCATCACACCATCATATGCTACTTTAACAGAATCAATCAAAAAGTTCCTTCAAATGCATTCTGTAATTACAATAATTACATCATTAGCATCGCATTTAAGTTATAGTGATTACATGAGAATTCCAAAGAAAAAAAAAAGAACATTATTAATTCATATTCCAACTCAAGGAGTCTTTTCTGGCAGTTTTAGGTTCTTAGGCTTTATATACAACAACCCAGATGCATTGCACACAACCACATGACAATTCAAACTACATCACTAATTTCCTTAGTTCATTTGGCTTAGAGCAAAACATCTTGTGTGAAGTGATCCTCAAGGACTGGGAATTAAAACGCAGGTTTGGACAAACTAAAACAACATCCATTACACAGTGACTACAGGGCATGGTCGGACAGGTTTAATTACGAGAAACCTCAAGAGGGAAGTGATAAAAATAGGAAGTGGAGAGCAGAAGAGCAGAAGCAGGACTTGTGGTTATTACCTCTTCTCTCCTCTGTACTCAAACTTCACCCGCACGTCATTCTGTGGAGAAGCAAACACAGTTTTACACGCATCTCAAAGCACATAAATCATATTCACAACAGTCTGAATAGAACTGGGAAACCCACTGCATTGATTTTTGAGCACTTTTTATTTTCCCTGTGACTACATCATTAGATTAGTTTCACATTCCTTCCTTGGAACGATGTTTTAATGATGCCTCTTATTGAAACTTCAGTATAAAAAGGGGAATTAAAGTAGGTAACTGTCACGAATCAGTTCAAATTGTCCGTGTGGTATATTAATATATTATTAAAATGTTTGGTTTTGTTAAAACTATATTTAAAATATTAAAATGTTTTTGAAAAAATAAATCTGATAATTTTCCACTTCATATTGGTGAATATATATATATATATATATATATTATATATTATGATTGGGGTGTAGGGTGTAATGATACATTGTTATATCAAGATATCACGATATAAAAATGCGAAGATTTGTATTGATTTCTGTCCCTCTACATTAAACTACTGTATAATGTTGAACATAATGTAAAATAATGCAATGGGGTAATATTTGTGGGTCCTGACAATAATAAAATAATAATAATAATAATAATAATAATATTATTTTAATAAAGTAATCATAATAAAAAAGTTTCGTATCACGAGTTCAGTACCATGATTTGTATCGGTTGGTGAAATTAGTGTATTGTTACACCCCTGAAACAGAATGGTTCAATTTGTGCTACTGAATTTATTTTCAGTATTTTACATCTTACATTAAACATTTTGAATCTACTTAGGCTCAGTTCCTCAGATGGAAAAAAAGTACATAAATATTGAGAAAACTATTGCATATTTTTAAAAAGCTGAAAACTACTGAGACATTTTAAAGTCAGCATGAAATGGAAATTGGAATAGTCTTTTCTTCCCTATATTGAAGTATATGAGTGAAACAGCTTCTGGAATGAGAAAAACGTAGGGTGAGACTTAAATTTCATCCTTCAGGAATTGATTGTCTCGTAGGAAGTTGGGTGTTGCTAACTAACTGGAAGCAGATCTGAACGCCACTTTGCAGTCAGTTGTGGAGGATATTCAGGGGTGGAAAGAGTACTGAAAAAATATACTCAAGTAAAAGTACCATCAGTAGCGCGAGTGGAGTAAAAAGTACTTGTCCAAAGGTAAGAGTAAAAGAGTAGCTTATTTAAAAGTACCCTGAGTAATGAGATGAGATTCGGATTCTGCCCCCTTATAATAAACACTTGCTCGGCCAGAATCGACTCAATGTCGTGCAACTTCGGAAGCGGAGCCACACGCAAAGATACAAAAAAAATGGCATCCACACACCACGTGAAATGGGGTCTCGTGCACTCAACGTGCGCAGCACCCCACACCGCAATGACGTCATTTTTGCAGTGCACACCATACGCTCGTGTGGACGTGGCGAGTATAAACCAGGCGTAACCCTATGCTATAGTATGTGTAAGTGGTTTGCCTGTCTACACTGAATGATGTCATCATTCCCCTTATTCAGCTGTGGTCACATTTACAGTACATGCTCTGTTTGCAAGTGACATAAGAGAGTATTAATGATTTATTAGGCAATGTTTAGTTGACGTTTAGCTCCAACTAATTTCTCTGGGGGAAAAAACACTGTAAGCAGCTGGTGCTGATGTGAATTACAAGAGGCAATGCAAACCTGGTTCTTTGGAGAAGAGGCCTTGGGTTTGCTCAGGTCAGACAGACCAGATGGTCGACTGGACCGATGCAGCACCACCAGGTCTTGCATGATGGAATTCAAGGCCTCCTGTTCATCTGCAACATATTAGTAATAGTATTACAAATTCTCATTATAATTATTATGTATGCTACCACTTTATAGTAAGTGTCTTTAACTACTTCGTATTAATATTTAAATTAATCATTTGATGCAATGCACTTGTGTTTTACATTGCATATACATTTAAAAATTCCTACTTGTAAATACAAATGTAATTAATTACACTGTTGACCCACCATTAAACCTAACCATAACCGTGTCAATAACCTTTTTTGCAGTAAAATAAGAACATAAGTACATTAACCGTTTTTTTTTAGATGCAAGTATATAGCAGTTAAAGACATTTTTTACTACTAACAATTAACAAATAAAAAAATCTGTATTCTGTCTAATATTTACAGAGTACATACCCATTTTGACAGATCACCGGTTCACCCAGGAGTAAAGGAAAGAGGATTCTCCCATGAAATGGGATCCTTTCTCCTGTACAAGAGAACAATCCATTTATTACATAAATAATTGCATTAATTAATAATGAAATAATTCAAATATTTGTGACAATAAACCATTGTCGATCTATTAAGACTGGTGAAACCACTGGCACTATATTGTTCTTTGTTGGCACAAAACAGCAAAAATCTTTATATAGCAGCACATTAGAAACCAATGCTTTAGTCTAGGACAAGATATTACCATTTTTCAATATGCACAATCTCTCATTAAAAGACCCAGCTAGTGTCCTTTAGCAGGCAGCTGTCAAAATCTGAACTGAATAGGGCAGGATGGCAGCAGCTTGTCTGACACTGAGGTGTTTACACACACATAAACATCTATATTAAACTCCTAAATTCAAGACAACTACAGTACAAGTAAACATCAATAGCTTAGATAAATAGCTTATCAGTGCATGTCACAAGTCAAGACACTGTCTTACCACATTTATGACTATGTATGATAGTTTGAGTAAAACATTAGCAACTCAAAAAATTATATATATATATATATATATATATATATATATATATATATATATATATATATATATATATGACAAACAGTAAAAGGAAATGTCAGTTAAAACTCTTAACGGCACCCAAAGCTAATAATCAAGCTAACTAACGTTAGATAGCATACATACCTGTCAAAACTAATGGCAGGTCAAAGTAACCAAATGCGATGACATGCTGATATATAATTAAGGTCATAATGGCATTTAGGCATTCGATTTAGCCTTGTCTGGAGCACGACACAATGTTAAGAAGAACCTAAATTATATTTATCAACACACAGTTAGCCGCTTAGCTCTCTAGGCCAAATTAGCATTGCGTCAGGATGCTAACGAACCGCTTCGCGCTTTAACAGCTAACAGAGAGATTCTTACAGACTTATCTGATTAAAATGTCTTTGTTATGCAGTCACCTAATAAAACAAATAAATAAAGAGCATTTAATCACCTGGGTGAGCTCGGTCCGTTCACTTCCTCATCCACAGATATGAGGCCTCGATACGAATCTGACACTCTGACACTCAAATAAATGGCTTTAACTTCAGTCCAAGGCCTGGCTAAGCGACCAAATCATCTCGCGCTGTCTCAAACACACTTTAAAGGCTGAGTGAAAGCCACTGACGATGATTCCAGGTGAATTTGTGGATAAAAACAGCTAATCTTCGACCGCGGACCGGGGTTTGTTTACATTGGGTTCTACGCGCTGGACCTGACTATCAACTGTTGTCAATTAGACTGAGAAGAATTTTGAGAATCACGAACTAGGACGATAACAATGCACAAACTGAGAAGGTCTGTTCAGAAAATTAATCCAAAAGAGCGTAACGACACATTTAGCAAATATATGTTACGTATTAAGTACACTTAAAAACACTACACAGTGCACACGCAGACACACACTACTTTGGAACAGCACCGCGGTCCTTTGACTCAATCAACTCACGTGTCTCCACAGCGCCATCTGTCGACTGTCATCTAATGCTTCGCATGGCCAGAGACTCGCCAGTGTCAAGTTGTAGCCAATCAGAGAACGTGGTTCGCTTGTTCTCGACCAATCAGAACAATGAATGCTCAAAGAATAACTCCCATTTGATTTACAGGCACATGTTTGCTGCGTGCGCGAGTGCACCTACTCGCTTGCCTTTGGCATATTTAATTGGGTAATTTTTAATATTGATAATTCAGTCTATTTGACTAAACGACAAACGTCGCATTTTTAATGACTTTAAGTCTATATATAAATGCTAACTATTTGACCTTCTCCAGTCGTTTTCATGTTAATCAAACCATTATGCCATCTGGTGGATAAAGATGAGGATTACATAGAGTTGTATATATGGGTAACTTTTTTTTTTACTTTCTGTGTTTGACTTTGAAGAGTCATGTGTCATCACCACCAGTATATCAAAGTTTTAGTAAATAAATGAATTCTCAATTAGAAGGTCAAAAAGATCATCTTTATTGACTCAAAGTTCTATACAGCATTGTAGTGTTAAGTTTTTGAGAGGCACTTTGTGTAGTTCAGGTAAATTGTGATAGATTATGATTTTTTTTCTTCTTAAATAGTGTTTTGAACAGAACAAACAACACATGAATTAGTGAAGTGTAATTTATTCATACAAAGTTCAGTAACTTATTCAAAAGCCTGTTTCCACATATCAAAAACTTCCAAATATCACACAATGTAATACTTCACAACCATCAAAACCAACATTCATGTTATCCAAAAGCAGTTCATTTTTTAGCATGTCCCATTATCCATTCGTTGCCTATAAGGCTAGTGCACAACATTTTGCATTTGGCATTAAAATCTTTTCAATTACAGAGTTTTAGTGGAACCAACACAAAATCATCACTCTTGAATATCAAATGAGATAGCCACATTCAAATAAAGATGGGCATTGTTGTGATTAGATGTGTTTTCTTTAAACGATATTTAATATTAGTGTCCACAGGACAGGATATTAGCATGATCTTCTAAAGTAGCTTTGTAGTTGTAATAGGATTTACTCACTCATGTTTGCTTTAGGAATTTCCTGTTTGTAAGCTAGAAGTCTTTGACTGTATATAAGCGTACAATGTTAAATAAATAATGAGCTTAGCACTAAAGCTAACTTAATAGTAAAACAACTATATACAAGGTCTTTTTGACCATATTTCACAATGATTTTAAGGCGGAGTGAAACCAAAAAAAACTATGAGAAAAAGTTACACTGCTAGTATGATGTAAATGCATGTGAAGAAAATGAGAATTTGTCAACACAATTCTCCAAGTAATTCGTATTGATCCGACTCCATAAAATAGTGTCTGTTTAAACATTTAAAAAATATTTGGTCAGCTGATTGGCTATAAATATTCAAACAAGAAAACTAACAATTATCTAATAAAAATGTTCTTAGAGGTACTCTACACAAATAAAAAAAAAATATTGTTTGTTAGATAAAAGCTAGAAGAGGCACTGTTATACACAATGGCATCTTTAGACTTCAAGAAACACAGTGTGGATTATGGTTTACATGAATACATAGTGTAATGACAGATTACTTTCGGTCCACAAATCTAAGGTTGATGGGTGCTCCTGGACAGAGCAGGCCATGAGTCTTAGCATGCACATCAGTGGTCTGGGAACACACCTCAATGTGGAACTTCTGCAGGAGCTGTGATAGACAAGAACATCAGTAAACCATTAGACAAGGGAATTACAATTCACATATATGACAGCAGTAATGACAACAAATTACACACCTGTGTGAGAGCCAGGTGCATCTCGAGCTCAGCTATTCTCCTCCCGATGCAGCTGCGGATGCCGTAGCCAAACGGGATGGAGCCGAAGTTGTCGACGCGGTCAGAGGCATCCTTGCGGATCCAGCGATCTGGACGGAATTCTCCGGGACGGGGAAAGTTCTCCTCATCCACTGAGGTGGAGTAATGACACAGAGCCAGCTGAGTCTGCGAACAAAGGAAGTTGTTGGTTATTGATTTTTATTTAATAGCTATTGATAGTTTGTGTTTTTAGCATTTTACTGAGCCCCCCTAGTGGGTTATTCACTTATTGCAGAACAACCGTGTCATCTTTTTAACGCGATTAACAGTGAAATGCAAGTCAAGTGTGTGTTTTTTTTCTAGGCACATCCTATCTAGGTAAAGGTAATTTATAAATCTAGAACTGCAGGAAAGACATGAAGGCATGAAGCAATTCTCTACTTTTTGTGGCATGTTTATGGCACGGGCATATCAAAATATGCATACACATAGTCAAATGGTATATGCTCTTACCCCTTTAGGGATGAAATAACCTCCGATGATCAGATCATCCTGTGTAACGCGTCCGTTTCCAGGGAGAACAGGGAAAAGCCTGGAAGAGGGAAGTGTGTATGTAACAACACCATGCATTCTGCAGATCTCTTGATCTGATAGTGTTCATTTCTTGATTACTGTATAAATAACCAGAATTTTTATTTTTGGGCCTTTTAACAGTGGTGGTCATAGCTTACCTGAGTGTCTCTTTGACAAGCCCTCTAATAAGGGGCAGATACGCAACATCCTCTCCAGTTGGGACGCGCCCACCCAGCACTCTGTCCACTTCCTCAAAAATCTCCTGCTGTATTGTGGGATGTCTTGCCAGAAGGTATGTGCTCCATGACAGTGTGAAAGAGGTCTGCAGAGGGTAAGAGAGTACACAATTTCAAGACTTATTAGAAATTAGTAATATCAACTCTATTAGATTCCTTTGTCTGCTGAAGAATGTCTCTACTACAGGGTCGGAAATTAACAGGGGCTTGGTGCAAAATGACATCAAAATGAATAAAAATACCCCCATAATTCAAGATATGGGGGAAAATGCCCCTGTATTTAGTTATTGTTTTATTTATAACATATGATAAGCTTGTTGTTTTTCCTAAGTATGAGCATGATGCATGTGTGATATTGATTTATACAAGAGTTCAATAAACAAGAAGTCACATTTTAGACACAATATTGTTAGTTTTTGCTCTATTTCAGCAACTAAAATAGTTCCAAAGCTACAGTAGGACTGTTGCACGTCTATTGCACAGTGTTTCTTTACTGTACTTTAGTTTAATGACTGATTTAATATCTCACACTTGCATTGTTCCTGATAGAATGAATCAACCATTTTAAACAAATCGGTTGAATGAATGATTCAATGACTCACTCATTAAGACTTGCCAACACTTATGGGCAGTTTTAGTTTAATTTCCCCATAAATAATTTCCCATAATTTCATATTTCTTCATTCACAATTTTATATTTAATACATTAACCTCATAACATTAATTATTATGAAATTGGAATTGGAATGAAAATTCATCTAAATGCCAATTCAGATGCAGCTTCTGTGCCACTTTACATCTGGCAGTGCAAAGAGGGAATTTGTTGATGCTGGTTTCATTTGATTGTTAAAATTCAATTAGAATAATAAGACATTGTGACTGTTAATTTTTTTTTTTTTAAAGGACTCTAAAAAGGTCAATTAACCACTGATACCATATCACCCCCCACCCCAAACACACACACACATTTTGCTCCTTCATCCTGTAATGAAACACCTGCCATGCTTCCCTCCATTCATCATTAATTCAGATAAACTCAGATAAATCCGGGCTTAAAAATGCTGCTGTCATGTGTGTTCAGCTCCAGTGATCACAAAGCCTTTTCTTTTTGGGTGACTGATTCCTTTTTTAAGCATTAACCCATACCAGGCGCCTTGCCTCATAGAGGTGAACAGCGAGACAGACAGGCAGAAAGGGAACGATTACATGACAGGTTTTGGCTCACGATTGCTAATCTGATCCTACGGCTGAAAGAGAAAGAGAGGGAAAGATCAAAGGGAAGAGGACGCCAACAAACACGTCAGCGAAATGGGAGAGTCTTGGCGGGTCTTGTTTATTGTGGGTGAGACGTATGGGGAGAGGTCAGCGTGAGGTCAGGTGAACACTGAGGTTTCCATGGAGACCACGGACACCCGTTACGATCTGACCATTTGAAAAGAGTTCACGGGAAGAGGAAGAGGCGCCTAAGACTCATGAGAAGGTTTGTTTATCATCACCATTAAGTGCAACCGTTTTTCCAGCTGTCTCAAAAACACAATGTGTTCTGGATTCTTGAATCACCACACACACATTCACTGCTTGGAGATATTACAGCATTACTTTACTGAAGGCATGAGAAACAGTGTATAACTTGATTAATTTGGCTAGCCGACATGGGAACTAAGTGTCTACCAATTGTCAGATGAGTGTGACATAGTAGTGATGACATATTTTTGTAGGCAAACCCGGAAGTTCCCTCGACAAAAACCCAATAGGATTTCTCCATTGGCTTTTGGATTATTGCAGAAAATAAGCTCTGTTACTAACAAAAGTTGTTGATTTTAAAAAGCCAGAAGTAAAAAGCTTCGCATCCCCCAAAATATGAGTCATGAACCACAAGCTGAGAAGCGCTGACGTCTTATCCCCTTCCCAGCAGCCCTTGGACAGGTTCTTACCGTGTCCACTCCAGCCAGAAGCATTTCAGTCATGTTTGCGTAGATCTCCTCTAGATTCATCTCTCTGGTGACCAGCATGTGAGTCAGCAACCCTCCTTTAATCTCTTCGCCTTTATTCATCTTCGTTTTGATCTCTGAAAGCCTCTTGTCCACGTGGATCTGGCCTAAAACACACATTTGTACAAACTTTTAAAAAAAAATATAGTGAACAGAGTTGTAGAAGACCAACTTTGTCACAATGACACTGAACCCCACCACGGTTCCCTCTGCTCTTACTGAATTTAAAGAGTCCGTCCCATGAGCTGCAGAATTCCTCCCAGGGTTTGGGAATTATGGAACGCAGCCATTTAGGAATTGCACCGGCATACATGGTTGTCTTGAAAGAGCTGAACATGAGGTGCAGCGCAGCAATGTACTCTTGACTCATCTTGGGAATTTCATTTTCCAAGCAGCCCAGGCGAGTCTCATACAAAATGGTTGCAACACCTAGGAAGGAGTTAAACATTTAAACTGGGTGATTTTTGTATCATATTGCTTCACATTTATGTACTTAGCCTATTGAAAATGACCACCTACAATTAAAATCAATTACTTGCTAAGGTTGTCATGTGTTAATCTGAATCTGACCGGAATATTCAGATCACTGTTCTGGTGAAATCTACAAACTTTCAAACTAGAGAGGGCTGATCAGAGGGCTATGTAAGCATTTAGTTGGCGGTTTTCTTTAGCAGCAACAAAAGACAAATAAAAGAACATTAATATTCTCTACAGACACAATCGGATGTGAACACAAATCTGAATTGAGCTAATTAATGACACTATTGTAAATTGAAGTTGTTTCATCATTGATGAACTTTGCAGCATTGATTCATTTATTGATTCAGTGATGCTCAATTTAGTTCACTATAGTGTCAATGTTGCAAATTTAGTTATTTCTTGATGAACTTTGCAACATTGACACTATTATTGAACTAAACTGAATCAATGAACAGAATTGAGTTGATCAATAACACTTTGTCTTTTGTAGAGCTGCTTTATTGTTAAAATAGACGTTTTTATCATCGATTAACTTTGCAACAGTTATTTTACACAGTTTATTGTATAAATCACTATTTAAATAAATGTGAAAATGTGACAAAAAAAATACTGTATTATAAATTCCAAATCCAAAAACCCTCATCTGTCTGTGGAACATCTGATTAACACCAAGACTCAAACTCCTCAGCTTGATCTAATTTCATTTATACAAAGGCCTCATATTCCTTTCTAGAAATGGAACCTTTCTCTTAATTAAAAAAAAATCCCCATGTTAAGGGTAGCGGAAATCAAACCCCTATGAAAGGAAAACCCCGAGTCATGTTGACTGAAATCCAAACCCTGTCCTCTAATCAAATCATGAGTGTAAAACGTAATATATCACACCAGGCCACCTTTAGTACATAACAACTAGATTTTTCCACAAAAACACACACACACACACACACACACATACACAATGCCCTCAAGCTCACCTTCCATGGCATAGTTGAAGAACAAGTCATTGATGTTAAGGACAGTCTGGCCATCGTCCTGCTGGCTGCGCAGTGTCTTGACTCTCTTCACCAGGTCGACCACCACATCATTAACATCAGGGGCGAAAACAGACACATCTTTGGGCCGCATAATCAGCTGTCGCAGAACACTGCGCATCTTCAGCCACTCATCCCCCTCGCTGGACAGAGAAATCATCAGATATTTGTTAGCACAGGCAGGAATCAAAATAAACATATTGACATTACTAATGTGTCATTTACCTATAATACCATCTAAACGTTTGGGGTCTGTAAGAATGTTTAATGTTTATAAAAGAAATCTCCTGCATTTATTTGATTAAAAATACAGTAAAAACAGTAATATTGTGACATTATCACAATTTAATTTAATAACTATTTTGTATTTTAATTAGGGCTGTCAAACGATTAATCACGATTAATCGCATCCAAAATAAAAGTTTGTGTTTACATAATATATGTGTGTGTACTGTGTATAATTATTTTGTATATAAATGCACACACGTATATATTTAAGAAAAATATGTTATTTATATATAAAATGTTTATATTTATATAAAATATATATTATATATAGGCTACATTCAGTCTATATACAGTATATACATGCAAATATTTCTTAAATACACATGCATGTGTGGGTATTTATGTATTAAAAATAATTATACACAGTACACACACATATATTATGTAAACACAAACTTTTATTTTGGATGCGATTAATCGCGATTAATCGTTTGACAGCCCTAATTTTAATGTAATTAAAAATGTACCCAGCTAACAAAAATATATATTTCTTTAAAATATCCAGTTTTTTTTTAATATTTAAAAAACTTTTTGTTCTTGGTTATGCAAACGTTAAGGGAACATTCCATTTTCTGTGTTCTCTGAACATTTAGAAAACTAGTAACATTTAAAAAACATTCACCCAACCAAATGTTTTAGGTAAAAACAAAAACAAACAAAAAAAGGTAACATTTTAGTTTAAGGTCTTACTTAATTCTCATAATTAACTAGTTGGTTATTAGCATGCATATTACTAAGATTTTGGCTGTTTATTAGTATTTATAAAGCACATATTAATGCCTTATTCTGCATGACCATATTCAACATCCCTTAATCCTACCCAATTCCTAAACTTAACTACTACCTTACTAACTATTAATAAGCAGTAATTAGGAGTTTACTTAGGCACAAGTCATAGTTAATAGTTAGTTAATAGTGAGAATTGGACCCTAATATCCTGATTAAGTGCTCAAGAAACATTTCTTACTATTATCAAAGTTGTGCTGCTTAATATTTTTTGTGGAAAGCGTGGTCCTATATTTCAGGTTTCGTTGATGAATAGAAAGTTCAAAAGACCAGCATTTACTGGAAATATATATATATTTTGTAACAATGTAAAAGTTTTTACTGCCAACTTGGATCAATTTAATCTGTCCTTTCTGAATAAAAGTATCAAAAGTCTTATTGTCTTATAAAAAACATTTTAATCCAAAGTGACAAACGGTTACTAGCCCAGATTTGAACCTCTACCGTTGAGAAAGCAGTCGGTACTTACGCTGAGATGAGTCCAGTGGATCTTCCCCTCATATCTCTGTACTCCTTCCAGGACTCCATGTTTCCTCTCTGAGGAGTCGCACCTTCAGACCTGAGAACATGTGCCACCAAGTCTCTGTCAGCGATGGACACCACCAGCTGAGGTCCGAATCGAGATTTAAAGATCTTCCCATACTTCTGCGCATGCTCCGTCTACAAGAAGATTTGTAAACTTGATTAACATGGATCTGAATCATTTATAGCTTGCACACTAGTAATTTAAATGTTTTTTTTACTTCCAATGGATTTTTTTAAGGCTGAGTTTAGGCTAATCTACATTAGACACCTCAGAAATAGTGAAAGTAGAGAGTAGAGAGTTGTGATTGGGTCCCAACGGTCATTTGTTTAGATCAGTTTGAGTACTTACTGTTACTGACGTACTTTATGTACTCTAATGCTGGCTTTCCTTTAATCTCTAAATGCATCCGTGAAATAAGAACAGCTATATGGGAGACAACACAACCATGATCCAGCATTAAACTATTTTTTCCCATATCACATTAGTCATTTCCTGACTGACAATATCTCCACAAAGACCGTATATGGCTATTCATCAACTGTTCGGTATGCATGGGAAGACATTTCCTGGTATAGATGGCCCATTTGCAAATACTTGAAGCTGTTTGCAAATACAGCCTTTAATGTGAGCTTGCCCAATTTCATCCCCCTTCTCAAGTCGCCTGCCCTGTACCATTCCTACTGAGACAGCACAAAGGCACCTCTGTGTCTCCTCAGCGATCTGATTTTTCTCACTGTCCAAAGACGACTGAGGCACAATTGCTGATCCCTCATGTACATGTAAACTAATGCCAGTCATTATTGCATTAGTAGGGAGCATAATGGCTCCATTTCATTTCATTGTATATATGTGTGTGTGTGTGTGTGTGTGTGTGGGTGTGTGTGTGTGTGTGTGTGTGTGTGTGTGTGTGTGTGTGCTCAGAAGTGACCAAAACCTAACAAAATCTTCAAAAACCTCCCTCATTTGTAAATCTGCTATAAAAATAAAGCAATTAAAGGTTTTTAAAAATGTAAAAAAAAAATAATAATAATAAATGCAGAAAGTTTTGTGTGATGGGTAGGTTTAGGGAAAGGGTTAGTGTATGGAATGTCCCCATTTAGATAGCTAATTAAACGTGTGTGTGTGTGTGTGTGTGTCATTTAAAACATACTTCCTTGAAACGCAGTTCTGCATCATGGTTAATACTCCTGCTTATCTAATGGCGCAAATGCAATAATAATTCATGCATTTCAGAGAAATAATTCATGCATGCAGAGTTGCAGACTGCGTCTGGGTTAAAATCAGTTTTGTAACTGTCCCTCATGGTGGGGTGGAGACTCAACTCGCTGTTTTATGCAACTCCAAAAGTAATTCAACACCTCACGTGTCCGCGCTGCACATTACGTGTAGCCGAATTTTGGCTATGTTCCAATCAAATCAAAGTTTATTTATCATTCTTGCAACAGAAATTGCTGACACTGAAGGGTATTTCTGCCAGCTCGTAAAATATAACGTCTAACTTACATACTTGCGTCTGGGTATGTTCCACTGAACGTGTATTGAAGGTGTAAATGCAAATGCAAACACACAAAGGGCTCTTTTCAACTACAACGCGTCCCATCTGACATCTACCGTCTCCACTCACCTGGATCTCATGGATGCGGCTGAATCCATCCCGGTAGAAGAACTCAACGAGGTTCGAGAAAGTGCTGGGTCCGGGCATCTCCTGGAGGGTCTTCACTGTGGTCTCCTTCAGCCCCTCCACGGCCGGACTCACCTCGTTCTCTTCCTTCAGTTCCGCCTGACTGTGCGCCGCGATCTCCAGAGAGCCGCTCGCCGTGGACTTGTGCAGCCCGCGGGCTTGGATGAGAAGCTGCTTGCATGACTCCTGGAGCAGATTCGTGCGGGCCAAGTGTAGAATAGAGCTTTGGAGAGCCATCTGAAAGACTGTGCCACCAAGTTGAAGTCAGGAGGTTCTTGTAGGTGTGGAAGTGCTCGCAGACTGGAGTGAGTGAGCATTGATGAGTGGGGCGCAGCGGCTTTTAAAGGGTCCACGGGAGATCTGCGGGATCAGAGAAGGGGATTGGACACTGGATTTTGGCACTGGGATGAACTGCGGTCCTCACGCATCAAACACGAGGCATTGGACGGACGTGTGCGATGAAAAGCTGAAGTGAAGGAATTTCTATTGTTGCTAAATAAATTGGGGATTACATAAATCGATTGTGGCTGGAAACACTTAAGCTGACCGCATTAGTAGCCAGACTCTTGCCTCGTTTAAACCCAAAGTGAAATTAGTCAGAAATTGTATTACAATTAACAATTTTTAATTAATTAAATGTAGCCTAAACTTTGTCGTTATTGTAATGTTATAATATTTAGTGCAGGCAATTAGCTTATTTTGTTATAAATAAAAAAGGGTGACAATAATGTCACTGATAGCCTATGGCATTCTCACTGACATGCCCCAAGTTCGTAAACTCAAGGCTTAAAGAAAATCCCGAGCTTCCTACTCGTATTTACGACTTTGTTTATTGGTTATTCAACTCGTAAAATATGATCTTTCCGACATGACTTGAATGAATGCACTGTAAACAGTAGCTAAAACCTGCTATCTTTTTTTCTTTCATTATATATCAGAGCGCTGTTAAAATGTAGCCTAACTTAAAACTTTTTGTTCTCCTAGGCTAGCAAACAGAGAGGTGTGTAGGATTTCAGCAGATATTTGTCATGATTCTGCCATCTAGTTCTTGTTGTTCTTTAATTCTTGAGGCAGGATCATGACAGAACCAAGGTTTGGGTGCAAGCACGTGGCCTTTGGTTTGGGCCATGTGCTGGTTGTCTCGTCCTCTGGCCCCGCCCCCTTGTTATCCTCGTTTTGTCATTATTGCTTTACCTGTGTCACCTGTTGTTATCATTAGTCTCTCTATTTAATCCCCTTGTGTTTGCTGTCTTGTGCCGGTTCACTGTGATTCTCAGTGTGTGTATCCAGTGATACCATACCTGTGTGTTGACCCTCTCGTGAGTATCTAGTGAAGAACTCTGTCTTGTACAATCCTGATCTTGTTGCTGTTATTAGTTATTTGTCTAATTACCTGTCAAGTCTTAGTGTTGTTAGTCTTTGTTTTTGCCCTTCAGTCTTGTTTTACCCCATCGTGGGTTTTGTTTTCCCTTTTTTGTCAAATAAACCTTGTGTTTTCGCAAACTGTCTGCAATTGGGTTCGTCCTTACAAAACCCTCACAATGTTAAGATTGTACAATATAAGATATTAGCAAATATCAAATGGACAATTGTATAATCCACAGGTCCATACACCACCACCTAGCAAATTTTGCTACATCAGAGAAGACCTGATTGAAACCTGAAACAAACACGTCCAAAGAGACCCAAGACTTCTATACTGTCATTGCATGTGGGCCACATAGGGGCCGTTAGATTTTAACAGATCGCAGCCATACTAAACTTGCATACAAGGCTCACATCGCCACATAAAATTGTAGCCTATTATTTGGCTCATGCTTGGTGGAGTTACAACTTATCCCTAAAATGAGAGAGAAATTATAGGTGCACAACACTGATGTAGAAGCACATAACCCTGGTTTTAAGCCTAAAATGTATTCCAAGAATAAACTAAACTATAAACTTGTCCCTCAAATCCGATTGGTTGCTTGGAATGTGTTGTACTTGGTGAACCTAAAAAGGTCTACAGCTTGTTCCCCTCATGAGGGGAACTGCTTATATATTTTATATATATATATATATATATATATATATATATATATATATATATACATATTTCCACTGCACCAGCTATGACATTGTACAGAAGAGATTAAGTTAGTTTTAAAATATAATAATAATAATAATCTTGTGGTGTATTTTGTAAATACAATATCATTTCCACTTCAGTGTCAATATGGGGATCCTGACATCCAAGCGGCATTTGGTTCTGTTGGTCCTACTTGTCATGTGTTTTCAGTTTGAGCACATGATGATGGAGGTCATTTGCCATGTGCTCTCTTGACTTGTGTTTGTGGAACACTTTTGTTTGTTGTCGTTTGCCATGTACTATTCTGTTGGTCTCATGTTAGGCTCTGCCCCCTCATTACCTTGTTATTAATCTTACCTGCTCCACTTCATTTCCTTCCCTGTTTAGTGTCCTGTGCCAGATTGTTAAACCGCTTGTTGAAACGCTGCACCTGGGCCCATTCCGCTCCATGCACGCGAACCTAATAATGAAAACGCTGCATGATAAAACAATGAAGGGAGATTAAAGGATTATTAATATGATTATGGTTGAGTGTGGTCAGAAGCCTCATGCACATGGTTGCCAAACAATGGTATTAGAACACAGAGGCAAAACAATCTTTCAGAGAACTATTGTGTTGGCAAAAATTGAGTCTGCTGAGATGGTGTTGTTTGAGGCTTTTCCCTTATAAGTAACTATCCACTTGGCTCAGAGTCGTCGGTTTTCACCCAGAAACCATGTGAATTTATTAGAAAAGATAAGCAGCGGGCTTTCCTTCTGTGTGTTTGCATGTGCAGGTGCAAAATGTCTAAAATGAAGGATAAAAAAGATTTAAATAAAGGCAGGTAATGCAACGCAAAAGTTCTTTTCTGAAAGAGTTAACAAAATTTGAATCGGTGGTTCAAGGATAGGGTGACCAACAGTCCTGTTTTCCCAGGACCAGTGGCGGTTCTAGACCATTTCAACTGGGGCCAAGCTGGGGCCAGTTGTACTGTTAGAGGGGCCAGTTACATTTAGACCTTATTGTTGTCATATCATTTTCTGCTCTACACTGCAGGCATAAACAGGCAAAATACCATGTTTATAATAATCCAACAATGCATTTGCATTTCCATTATATTTTTACATTTGCATTACATATTCAGTATTAGTCACAGTAACTGTATTTGCATTTCCATTATATTTTTTACAATTGCATTACATATTCAGTATCAGTCACATTAACTGTATTCCACTGTTTTTGTGGGGGTTTTTTGCAAAAAGATCAGCAAATTATTCTCTAACCTGGCCTTTTTAGGCAAGGTTAAGATGAGAATCTGGCATAAACATTTTATTCACTTGTACTTGATTCTCTCTTTTCTTTCAAAGAGGATCAAACAGAGGGTCTAGAATAAAAGGCCTCAAACATAAAGGACTCCGCAAGTCTTTTCACACAGTTTAAAGTTGCTTGCTTTAATGTACTTAATAAGTAATGGGGTATTTATATTATGCAGGTTATTTAGGAACATTTTGGGGGAATATTCTTTGGTATTCTGTTGTATTCCTCGGTACAACCCAAAGCAGTTCCAAGGGGATGAACCCCCTTTTATTCAAGGATTTCAAAAACAAGCCAGTAGGAAAGTGGCCAACTGTGTCCTGCCCAGAGCTGAGGAATGTTCCGATGAGATTTGTATTTGAGTAAAATAGAGGTTCTTACCCCCAGGTGGCCCCAAACAACACACTTGCTTCACAGTGCCTGGACTGACATGAATTCAAAAGCCACAAACATTTGTTCTAATACAATCTGAAGAATGAGACTTGGCCCGTGAATTATGATACGATCTCCAAACAACAAACAAACACGCACTTATGGAGGTTTATAAAATACAAAAGCTTATTTTACACCATACCGTCTCCAAGATGTTTTTTAAAGAGCACTTGATCTGGAAAATATCTGATAAACATCTTTTAAAAAGCAGTTTTACATACATTCTAAATCATAAACATCTTAAAGATATTTTCAATATATATATATATATATATATATATATATATATATATATATATATATATATATATATATATATATATATATATATATATATATATATACAAAACTATTCAATATAATGCTATATTGTTAATAAAACTGCCATTTCCCTACACATCTCTGTCCATTACGTTTTATCCTTTTTATATTCTGTATAAAATGGGTATGTTTAGGCTTGGAAGTAGGATTAAGGGATCTTACATTTATCTATAAAATGGTAAAAGGGAAATTATACAGATATCTTTATGATATGAAATATACTGGCGTATATCGTTTTGTAGCTGTAAAATCGTAATAATGTTACGTTTAAATGTTGCAGATACGTTCATATTATACGTTTCAGCATCTATCCAAACGTATAAAAAAGTAAGTTTTCTATCCCCTTACGAAAAATAAGTTTATTCAAGTGTGCTATTAGTATACTTTTTTTAAACTAAAAATAAGAAAGTATACTTTCAGTCTACTTTTTATGTACTTCTCAGAAATATATTTTATGTACTTCAAAAAATATACCTCAAATTGCACTTAAGTATACTTGACTTATACTGACAGAAAAGTCTAAGTATTTGGCCTATACTTGTTGATCGAGATATACTTAAAAGTATAATTAAGTATTCTAAGTATTCTTGGCTTGTACTTGTGTTTACTATTTTGATTGAGTAGCTTATTAAATACTTTTTTAAAACATAATATTACACACTTATAAACTAACATATTCAAGTTTATATAGTAACAAGCTTTCGGGTGGAATGGCTTATAGAGTAAATTAGATAAGCATGGAACTGAACCTGATCTTGAACACAGCGATAATAATTATCCTTACGAAAAATAAGTTTATTCAAGTGTTCTATTAGTATACTTCTTTTCAACTAAAAATAAGAAAGCATACTTTTTATATACTTATACCATCTATATTTTATATTTTAAATTCTACAGAAAAAAACAATGTGAATTACATGGAAAAGTTAGTTCAGGTAAGAATTTAAAAAAGTAAGTAAATTCTATAGTAGTACTCAATTCAATCGTGTAGAAATGAAAGCGTAAATATCAACATTATAAAATTAAGTAAATTTACTCAACTTTTCTGATACTGGTGTTCCCGTCATGCACTGGGCCTTGAATAATTAATGAGGTTGATTTTTCACTGTTTTCCAGCTGTATTTACACTATTTTATCATTGCGTTTGTTGTTAGGATTAGTAACTTGCCATTTTGTGACATTTGGAGTTCATTTTCTACTTATTACACGATCCATAAAACGTAAAAACGATCCATCAAATGTTACCGTCATTGTGTATTGTCTACCAAGTAT